CTCTACACAATTTGTTTAGGGTTTAGTGTGGGGGAAATTTTCTAAAAGCCCTAATAATAAAGATTAAAAAATAAATGGAGGGGGACAAATTACTTAAATCATTTTAATAAATTGCACAATCCCCTGCCATTTTTTTAGGGACATTTAGGCAAACTCACATAGGCCTACAAATGAAGCATTTAACAAACTACTCGAGGTTCGACTCAATAAAAACAATGTTCGTGGTCATTTAATTAAGTAATCAAACACTACAGAAAAATTTTGTATTACTGTTGTACTTTCTTGCATATATAAATACACTGGTAAAAGTGGCGAACCAATCAACGTATATTTCGATGGTACCTTAACGATGTTATTTTTGGTGAATAATTTACCAAAAACAGACATACGACGAAATGATATCTTATTTTCGGTGAAAATTTTCCACTGGTATTTCTGGTGGATAATCCACCGGATATTTCTGTTGGTAATTGTTCGGCGAAACCATCCATAAATTATCACCGTCATTTACGATGGAAAGTTTTTGCCAGAAATTACGACAGATAAAATGCAAGAATTCTTTCTAGGAAATCGACATCTTGGGTACTATTTTTTCGATGGCATTCCGTGGGTTAGTCTGCCGGAAATATTTGTGACAAAATAAAATTTCATATGAATGAATTACCGTCAGACAACTTTTCACCAGAAATTCACAGGAAACCAGGTTTTACCGACGTAATTTCATTTTACTGGCAGATTTTGTCCGCCCGTAACATCCAATTTTATACTCCATACTGTTGAAGACTTAAAGACAAATTAGATTAGGATTTCTTGTAATTGAAGTCTGTACGTTTTATATTTTTCTTGAGTCTAAGAGAGTGTGATTGTAATTGGATAACTGTGCACACACATACTGAAGGAGTGAGTCAAAACTTTTATTTCTAAAACTAAATGTATTGTACGATTCTTAAATCATACTGGATGATTTGACATGAAAGTTCCTCCAGAACGAAGTTCATTAAATCATGCCTTGGAAATTTATTTTGTCATGTTCGTACTGTATGAAGTTGGATTTGTATAGACGACGTCCAGAGTACGAAATAGATACGTACCAGTTCATGTCGAACGAACTCACCATTTTTTTTGAACTGATCATACTGTACGAAGTGGAGTTCATATATACGATGTTCAGAGTATGAAATGGATACATACCAGTTTAACCCATATGAACATGTAAATTTTTTAAATTGTTCATTCTATACGAAATTAAATTCTTACATATGACATCCAAAGTATGAAATGGGTTCATCCATATTCCTACCATACGAAGCATGATTTGATTCAACAATTCATACTATATGATGTAGGTTTCATACAAATAATGACTAGTGTACAAAATGAGTTTGTACAAACTCGTACCGGATGAACTTATTTAGTTTTTTAATTATTTATACTATACGATGTCAAATCGTACATACAACAGACAATACAAAATGGATTCGTACATAGATTTTTTGAACTGTTTGTACGTACGAAGTATGATCGTACTATACGATCCAAGTACGTTTGATTTGAAATTTTCAATTTTCAGGATGGTTTGTCTTGTCCTTCATATATAATAATCCTAAAAACTAATTATCCTCCTTATGCAAATTTTCTCTTGGGAGTGATAAAGAGAGTGTTTTGGGAGTGTTTGGGAGTGAGGGTTGAGAGATTTTTTTTTTATTTTTTTTTTTTATTTTTTTTTTTTTAGGGTTGAGAGATATTACAAGTGAAAATTGTGAAATGTTCACAAGGTTACCCAAAGGTGAGGATCCCTTTATGTGTTCTCCAAATCTCTGCCCTACTTCTTTGAAGACTCTTGAGAGAAGATCTTTGGAGAAGATCCAGCACTCTGTCATCACCAAGAGGGTGCGAAAGGACGTTGGTACTCTATCATCACTAAGAGAGTGAGAAAGGATGTCGATACTATGCCGTGATCAGGAGGATGAGAATGGATGTTGATACTTTGTCGTCACTAGAAAGGTGAGAAAGGACGTCGATACTCTACCATCACCAATAGGATGAGAAAGGATGTCGGTACGTTGGCATCACTAGGAGAGTGAGAAAGGACGTCGGTACTTTGCTGCACCGGGATTTGGTGGAAGAGAGGTTGCTGTAAGGGCTTCTTCGCCTTGTTGTGGAAGCAAAAGGAGAGTCACTTTGGTATAATGCAATACCTGAAGAATGAGTCTTCAAGGAGTGTACGTAGGTCTAGTTGGACCGAACCACTATAAAATTTGGTGTTCTTCTATTTTTATTTTTACTTCATTTTTATTTTCTGTACATTTATTTTTAGTGGTTGAAAAATTATTTTGATAAATAATCATTGTCCTAAAAGTTTAAATCGGTTTTCTAAATTACCAAGTGTTTTTTAAATTATCAATTCACCACCCCCCCCTTCCTCTTGGTTGGCTTTGGGACAAATCTATTAGGTCCAACAACCTATTCAAATTTTCAGCTCCCAATTCCTAGCCTGACCTCCCAATCTACTTTGAGCTCGAAAAAATAACCTTCTAGCAACCCTTTTTCTACTACCTGTTGCTGACCCTGCCATGACTGCCCATTCAACCGTCCAAATCCAATTCACTGCCTACGATGTAGCATTCAACTACCCATCCCATCAACCTCTCGCCTCCAATTGCAGATATCTTTCTTCCCTATTCGAGCACTCCCTCCCCAGCTCAAACACTCTTACACCAAACCAAACAGCTTCTAAGTATTCATAATATATTAAGTTTACTTTACTCATAATACACCCTATCAAATGAAAAAAAAAAAAAAATTCCCTGCATTCACTTTAAAGCAAACCAAATAGCCCCTTAATATAGATTGTTTATTGTCATGAATTTTGTTTGTTCAAAATGTTCATGAATAGGTTTTCTTATAAGAAGAATAATAACTCATTTGTTTGTGAACGAGCTCACTTGGTAGTTCAAAAATACTTCCTAAATATGTCATGAACAATCTTATTTGGTAATTTAAAAATTCTTGCTAGATATGTTTGCAAATAGTCTCATTTGATAGCTCAAAATCACTCATTATATATATTCTTGAATATGCTCATTTGGTAGCTTGAAACAAACTTTAGAAATATTCGCCAACATGTTTGTTAGCAAACTTGACAAAGTTTGATAAGACTTGTTTGTTTAAAGCTCGATAAGCATGAAATGAATTGAACATGAATCAAACACAAACCAAATATGAACATCCATCAACTTAAACGAACCACGTTAGAACACAAACAAGAAAGCTCAAATCAAGCTCGAGAGCTCGAAAGAACACGAACAAGCTGATAATATACAAACACAAACAGGGGCGGAACCAGCCTTATATTTTAGGGGGGGCAAAATTTTTCATATAAATGAATAAAATAAAAAAATAAAATAAAATAAACATAATTCAAAATAAAATCTTGTATTTCATTATAAAATATAAATTGAAAATTATTATAAACTTATAAATTATTGAGTCCTATTATGCATCAACAACAAAGCTGTTATTCGGATGTAAGGAAAAGAAAAATCAACTCACAAGATATACTAATTTTAATCTTCTAAAGATAAAATAGATTCAACAATAAAAGCCTATATATTTTGCTATCTCACATGATCGCAGATCAACATTTTTAACTTTAGTTTGTTCTATTTTAATCATTAATATATATAAGATACATTTTTTTTGCTGAAATATTTAAACATTCTGCTCAATTAAACAAAACATAGTGAATTAAACGTTAGCCGAAGGAACGAGTTCAACAGCTATAAATAAGATACAATCTCGATTTAAACAAAAAACATATGATTTTTTTTTTTTTTGCATAAGCCAGCTCCACCTAGGGAAACACCAGCCTGTATATTGGAGGAAGGAGGAGAATGAAACTTGGGGGAGAGAGTCGAAGTGCGAACTGTAAAAAGGATTGGTATCAATGTGAAGACAGCTTTGCCGGCAGCAAAAGCGGTGGCAGCGAGGATAGATTTTGGGAGGCCATTGTTGTGCTCGTCTAGATTGTAAAATTTTTGCCGCTGTTTGAGAGTGATTGGGGGAGGTTAAGGCAAAAGAGGGGCAAAGTTAAGAGCTTTGGGGGGGGGGCGGCAAATTACTTAAATGCATCTCTCTTATAACTAAAAAAAAATATTTAGGGGGGGCAATTGCCCCCCCTAACATGTACATGGTTCCGCCTCTGAACACAAATATACATAAGCACATACTCAACTCTGCACACACACATCACATATACAAGATTTGAACTTAAGACCTCTTGGTGTTGAGTTTTCTTTGAAAATGAAAATTTTATTTTATGTTTTCTGTGAAAATGCAAAATGATTTGATAAATTTACCCCTTAATAAATTTAATTTAAATTACATAGCTTTTACTTTATTTAATTTAATCAAAGCACCAAATTATAATTTTGCTTTCTAAAAATCAATCATATTATGGCTTATATTGCAACTATCATCTGAATAATAACCCGAGTTGTAGGGCTGTCAAAACTGGTTGATGGACCAAATTCAATTCTGAATTGAAATTGACCTAAAATGAAGCCAATGAACCCGAGCTTGAACCCAAACCATTTAATAAATAAGTCAAAAACATCAACCAAAATCTGACTCACTAACAAACCAAATAACTTCAAGCCAACCACTTAACCCGTTTTGGTTAGATTTTTGATAATTTATTAATATAATGGTTACTCTATTTAATTAAAAAAATTTATATCTATAAATAAAAAAATATTAAAAGAGTCATCTTTGAGTAAAAAATGGGTTAGCATACAAGCAAAACCCCATCCATTAATTAAATTAGTTAGAAAACTCGACCAACCAATGAGTTTAAATCAGAATTTTTTATATGAAATTGGATGATTTATTGAGAAGAATATATTTTCATACCTATTTAATTTTTAGAACTTTCCTCGGAGAACGTTGGAAATTAAAAAAATATATATATAGAAAAACATCCAAATCCTTGTACCGCAAAGGCAGTCTTAGATGATAGCAGCAAGTCTGCGAAGTTTAGTCATGGCCGCCTCCAGCAACTCCTACTCTTACAATCTCATTGGGCCAACCCGCAACCTAAACAACCTTATCCAGCAACTCCGCCTCTACAAAGCCCCGCGCTTCGGCGGCGGTGTCAGCGATGAAGACGACGAGGTCGACGAGAGGGGAAAGGTTTTCTCCCAAATGGGCCTTGCTGAATCCGCCATGCGGCCCATGCCTCCCGCTTTCAAGTCCCAAGACAAGCGAGCCGCGGTACTCGTCTGTCTCTTCGAAGGCGATCTCGGCGACCTCTGCGTCTTCCTCACCAAACGCTCCTCCAATCTCTCTTCCCACTCCGGTCGTCTCTCTCTCTCTTTCTGCTTTTTCTCCTCCATTCCTCTTTCGAGATCTGAGTTTAGGGTTTTCAAAGGCGACGTTCTTCCGCCTATTAACGGATCTTAGATGCAGGTGAGGTGGCACTGCCGGGCGGCAAAGCAGACGAAGGCGACGCCGACGACGTAGCAACGGCGTTGCGAGAAGCTGAGGAGGAGATCGGGCTAAATCCATCTCTAGTGAACGTCGTCACAGTCCTCGAGCCATTCTTGTCCAAGGTACAATTAATCCCGAAATTCCTTTGGGTCCGGTTCGTCCATAAGACTCTCAATTCTCTCATTTTTGCCATGAATTCTCTTCAAACTCTAAACGCATTTCGTTGTTTTCTTTGCAGAAACTTCTCAGAGTAGTTCCTGTGATTGGGATACTCTCTGATAGGCGATCATTCAAACCTGTCGCCAATGTTTCAGAGGTGGAAGCAATTTTCGATGCGCCTTTAGAAATGTTCCTGAAGGTTTGCTCCAATGCACTTAACAAAATTCAACATTTACAAACCATCTGCCTCTCTTTGAGATTATCAACTGTTTGTATGCCTCAATTATTTGTGTTCTAATTGTATCAATCATAGAGTAATTGTTCATCTCAATAATTCTTGATACATCGTCAAAACATTATCTTGATTGTGCATGAATCTCGATGCAAAATAAGGTTGGAAACTTCCGGGATCACCTGAACTCCGATATGCAAACTTATAGTCAAACTGAGCGTCTCGGAAATACGAACCCAACGACACCAAATTCAACTCAATCCGAGCCCAAATGAGTCCAAATCAAGGACCCAAAACGCTGTTGGAAGGTTCAAACCACAATTTAGATTACCAAACGGTTTCCAAACATGATATGCTTATAGTCGAATCGAGCTGCTTGGCGAGACGAATCCAACGAGCCCAAGATCGCCGAATTCCGATATCATTAAGATCTTCAAATGTCTGACGAACGGTCCATGATCAAGGGATTCAATATCGACCGTCCATTCAAACCACTGCCAATTCGCCCCTAATCTCTCACCTATTTACAGGCCATGCCACTCCATAATCTATAAATAGATCCCTCATTTTTCATGAGAGGGGACCAAGCTAGAAGCAAGAGGAGAAGAGAAGAGAAGAAGAATAGGAGGGAAGAAACTCCTCCTCGGCCACCGCCAGAATTCTGCCCGACTTTCAAGTAAAACCGGAATTCTGCCCGACTTCTAAGTGACTCTAAAATTCCGCCCGAACTCCAAGTGATGCCGGAATTCCGCCCTAACTCCAAGTGACGCCAAAGTTTCACCCAAACTCCAAGTTACATTGGAGTTCTCCTTGAATACCATCTAACGACGGAGTTCTCCTCGGCCTCCAACTTACCTCGGACTTCTACTCAACACCGGGCCTTCGCTCGTCGCCAAATTTCTACCCGAAACTGGACTTCCACCTATTGTCGGACTTTCACTGGACATCTATCTGATGTTGGATTTCTGTCCATTACTGGACTTCTACTTGACACTGTCTTTCTGACCTCTATCATCAGACAACGGTCCTTATGACTAACGTCCCCCGCCGACTACAATCCGTTTGGCCTCCGTCACCCGCCGACAACGGTCCTTCTGACTAACGTCGCCCGCCGACTACAATCCTTCTTGCCTCCATCACCGCCGACAACGGTCCTTCTGACTAGCATTGCACACCGACTACAGTCCTTCAGACCAAACAAACACATCAACAGTGATGTTTTGTATTCTCACTATGTAATGTACTCTATAAGATGTACATTAAGCTAAGGTCTTCCGCTAAGGAAGGACCTCATCTGTAATCAACTATAATACTAATTGATTCATTCATACTGGGTCAGGCCCCGTGGTTTTTCCCCCCTTTTTCAGGGGTTTTCCACATAAAAATCTTGATGTCTTTAATGGATGACGCACCCCCTCTTTTTATCTGATTGCGTGATAGATTTTCGTACAATGCTAAGACATTAAACTTTATATTTCTCTACCGTCGCGAATACTCCTGGACGCAACAATTCTTTTATTTTTTTTATTATCATTAATTATGTATTAATTTATTTCTGATTTGTAGATCTCATAATTGATAATTAGTATCTAGAAATCTGTACTTTTTCCTATAATTTGAAACAAAAATAAATTAAAATTTCTCTCCTATTATCTCTCAATGTGTTAATAATACATTTTCTCAATAAAAATGATTTCATTGTCTATCTTCCTATATTAGTATTAATTCTATTGTGGAGGTTTTTAAATGGATTTTCACGCATTTATGTTTCATTTTGGACAGTTTTTCACTGGTTTACTTTTCAGATTATAACCACAATTTCTATTTAAATACTTTTTTCTTTTATTTTCAAAATCCTTGTGTTTAGAAACTATTTTTACAGTTTTTTTCAAAAAATTTCTTTCACCACAACAAATTTATAACAATATTTAAAAAAACTTCCTGAACCCTTAATCTACGATTTTGTTTTGGCCATTGCTTTTTTTTTTTGTTTTAGAAAAAATTTGTGCTAGAAAATTGTTGTATAAAGCAGTAAAAGAACTGTCTCCAACAAACAAGAAAAATTATTCTGTGCAGATCCCAGATGGTGTCCAGAGACCAACAAGAACATGCCATGTCACTATTTTGTTCGGTACCGGTGCTTGGTACTACTATGTACCAGATGATGTAGCGTGTTCTGGTTGGTCTCCAGACCATCCGGTGTTCGCACATAATAATTTCTTCTCAAACAAAACCTATATCTCAAAGTCAAATAACTCTTATTTTCCTTTCTTTTTTTCAATGGGAACAGGATGAAAACAGGAGAGCAGAGGAGCGGGAGTGGATGGGGGCCAAGTATCTGATACATTTCTTTGATTATAAAACTGATGATCAAAAGTATTTGATATGGGGTATGACTGCTAGCATTTTAATTAATACAGCTTCAGTAGTGTATCAGCGGCCACCATCCTTTGCAGAGCAATATCGCAAGTTTCATCACTGTTTGTGAATAAGGTGAATATTTATTTTATACCCCCACTGTATATGCAATAATCTGCTTGTTTTTCTTTGGCAGAAATGATTTGTAGGGAAGCTGTTTATGATTATTTGCTGCTTAAGCATCCTCTTAAATGTGTTGGAATATAGCTTTTTTGAATCACTTGCACTGTGATTTCTCTGTAATATGAAGATTTAGCCAATTTAACAAAAAAAGTGTCCTTAAGTCTGCATTTGGATAAAGGTTTCGTTTGAGACAATTTTTTTACTGCTTTCTATAGTATCTAAAGCTTGATTTCTGCCGAACATTGATTGCATCATCTTCTTCATAAGGTCATACTGCTCATTAGAGATGTTTACACAATCCAAAGAGAACATACTGTAATTTTGCTTCACTGTAGCATCTAGAAGCGTTTAATTTGGTTAAGGTTTCGTTTGGGACAGCTTTCGTACAGCTTTATAAAATAGAGTTCTAGTACAAAAAAATTTTGAAAAAAAAAAAGTGTATTAAAACTCTATTTTATAAAGCAATAAAAAAGCTGTCCCAAATGAAATCTAAATGGACAGATTGAAAGAACATGCTTTCCCCTTGAGGTCATAGCCTTTACTCAACTGAAATCCTAGAGGAGGTCATCAGAAAAGGCATCACCATCCAGAAACAGCAAGTCCATACAAACCCCAACCCAATTACTGTAGAAATTCGTAGGCTAAGCACTAAATAGAAATTATTTACAAAGTGTATACTTGAAGCTTTGGTTAATACTATCATTCTAAATTTAAGTAATGAAAAATTCTATATGCAAACATTTGAGAATAAAAACCAAATATCTCAGGATTTACATCATATCTTATGATTCATGAATTCAAGAAATGTATCAGGTTTTATTGACAATGATTGCTTAATATTGCAGAAAAACACAGTAAGGTTTGTGATCTTTCTCAATTGAATTGCTTTAATTCCTCCATGGAACTCATTTCACTTCCAGATAGAGTGAAGAGGCTCTATGTATAAAGTTCTCTCCTAGATGGGGTGGTTTCTGATTTGATGTCTTGGGGACCATAATAAAAAAATATATATTTATAAAAGATTCTCATGGTTCCCTAAAAAGGTATCTACTCAATTTATTCTAAATTAATTTGTGTATTTGATGGAGTTGACCAATAAGAAAATAGATCACATTATTTCAGCACATATTATATATATGATGCAGGACTAGGTATAATTTAAATGAATGATATAAGAACTTGCACGTTTTGAATTAGAGCAATTAAGAATTAGAAACGTTAACCACTAAATGATAATATAAAACAAAAGAAAGGTGGCTTCACTTATGCCAAATTACATGCTAAAAGCTAAGATCACTAAAGCAATTAGAATTTCAACCTAGGCAAATTAAGTAAATTTTAAATAGCATCCCTAGGTTAACAATGAGATTAGAAAGCATAGAAAATCAAAACTTAAGCCCTAAATTTAATAAGCATTGGCATATAGCTTTGCACGACTCCTTGTGCTTGAATCACATCCTACAAGAGAAGAAGATTAGAAGAGAAATTGAATAGAAGGAAAAGTTCACCCTCATCGTGGGACGAAAGTGATTTGCCACTGAACATTGGCAAGCTGCTCTTTGATGGCTTCGAACAAGGTGAAGATGCTATGATCCAAGTACTCCTCAACGGAATTGTCTACTTTCGGGTTGATGTCGAAGAAAGTTGACAAGAGGATGTCGACAAATCCTTGCTCATTGTAGAAGAAGCCAGAGTCAAGATCGGGATCGTCCATACAATGATTCCATAGGGTTGTAATTTTGGAGATGACGTCCTTTGCTTCCCTTAACGATTCCCCTTGAGAGAAAGAAGTTCCTCTCAAGAATTCAAGTGAAGAATAAGGGTGAAAGGAGGCGGGCCAAAGGGAGCGGTTGGGGGAGAAAATAGGTTCAGATTTTAGAGGAGGGAAGGTGGAGCGAATTCAAGCAATTATTTCCCTAATTATTCCTTTAACTTGGAAATGATTTATGGGTGATTAGGAAAGAGGTAGGGGCGATTAAGAGAGAGAGGAGAGACTTTGAATTATTTCCAAGAGAGGGGCTTGAAGTTTGGGAAGTATTCAATGGGTGGGGACCCAAGGGGGGCCAGCAGCATAGAGAGGGAGAGAGAGAGGGAGGAGCATAGGGAAATAAATCAAGCCTTCTTGATTTGGAATATTAAATTAGGAAGGACTTAATTAATTCTCATTTAGTTTGAAATTTAAAAGGGTTGAATTTTGAAAATTTTCCTAAAATAGATTCCTATGTTTGGAAAGTTTTGAAATTAAAAATTGCCTTGTATAATTGGGACCAAAGCTTTCTAATTGAGGTTGGATGAAATATGGAAAGTATTAATGGGAGATTTTAAAATTTGGACGCAAGAGGAAGGGCTAGGGATGGCGGTGAGGCTAGGATCTTGGGTAAGGGCCTGGTGGCTAAGATTGGGAGGAGGTTGGTTGGTTGGGTGGTGGTGCTAGGCCGACGGCTATGGGGGAAAAGGAGGGGTTGGTATTGGCCGGCGGTGTGGTGGTGGTGGGGTGAGGGGAGTGGCAATTTGGTGGTGGATGGCTTAGGGTGGTCGACGATTGGGAAGTTAGAATGAGCCGTGGGATGGAGGGGGAAGGGAGGACAGAAGAGAAACAAAGAAATAAGATGAAACTAGCCACTAACCCATACTATTTCAAGGTTGGTGGGTGATCTGCTTCCCTCCCCAAAAGATTTCTCTTCAAAACCTCTCAAACTCACACAATAACTCAATATGCAAAAGATTGATTATAATTCATTCAGTAATCTCAAAAGAAACATAAGGGGGCTATATATAGCCTCATACAATGAACAAGAAAATAAAAGATAACATGACCCTTAGGACTTGCACATGAAAAATCCTTAGGGGTAAAAAGGAAAATACAACAAAAATAAATACATAAAACAAATAAATAAAACAAATACATATGATGACTCAAAAATAGATCAGCGTCATCGTGGTCGTAGATCGGCGTCCACGTCTCTGATAAACTTTCCATGCTCTGATGTCCCCATCATTCTCCTAGGGTGGGAAAAAGTTTGACTCCGTCGAGTAAGCGTCCCGGGTGCTCTCATAGATCTCTAATGCGTCGGGGTCAATCTGTTGTAACTCATCGTGATCCAACCACATGTCCTATGACTCAGGTTTGCCTCTCCACCTGATGAAATACCTCCATCATCCACCTTCTCTAGTGGAAATTATATCATCACTCAGAATCGTGTCAACTTTCTCTGCCATAAGTGTTTTGGGAATGTTTGGAAGTAGAGGTAGATTTGGGTTCTCACACGGTGGGGTCACACAAGGCTGCTGTATAAGTAGATTTGGTGAGTTAAAATTGGGACCTTCATCTGCTACTAGATCTTCTAAGTTAAAGGATGTATTGATATTGAATTATGTAGGCAGATCTACTACATAAACATTATCATTGATTTTCTTAATTATCTTGGATGGTCCTGCACTCTTAGCATGTAACTTCTTAATCATTCCGGACGAATCCACACCATCACAGAGTCACCATCTCATAACTTTTAAAATTTTTATTTAAGATCAGCATAAAGTTTATAATCATTATTGCTCTTCTCAATCTGTCATGCAATCTCTTTATGAAGTTCATGCATATGTGATGCAAATGAGGATGCACTCAGAAATCCTATACCTAGAGCACATGGGTATGAGATCTAGTGGTTGTCTAGGTTTGAACCCATAAATAATTTTAGAGAGACTTAGGCCAGTGGTATGATTTATAGAATTATTATAGGCAAACTCAGCTGTGGGGATTATGGAATCTAATCCTTAATATGCTCACCTACCAAGGATCGTAACAGATTGCCTAAGCTCCTATTGACTACCTCGATTTGACTATCAGTTTATGGATGGAAGGATGTAGACAATTGCAATTTAGTGCCCATTTTCATCCAAAGGATTTTCCAAAAATAATTCATGAACTTAACATCCTTGTCTGATATAATGGTTTTGGGTAAACCATGTCAGCGGATGACCTCATTAAAGTAAAGTTTGGCAATGTAGGAGGCGTCAGATGTCTTGTAGCAGGGTTGAAAATTGATCATTTTGGAAAATCAATCGACTACAACACAGATGGTGTCATTCCTACAGATAGTCTTGGGTAGGCCTAAGATAAAATCCATGCTAACATCCTGCTAAGGACAACTGGGAACAGATAGGGGGTGTAGAGACCAGTGTTTTGCTTGTGTTGCTTAGCCAGCTAGCACATGTGACACCTGCTAACCATTCGACCGATATCTCGCTTCAGACTGGGCCAAAAGAAATGATACACCACGACTTCTATCATCTTATCCCGACCAAAGTGTCCAGCGAAGCCTCTAACGTGGAGTTCCCAAATAAGAAATTCTCTAAGGGAGGTTATAAGGATGCAAAGCTTCTGAGCTTTGAAGAGATAACCATCCTCCAAAAGGAAATCTTCCACAAGGCATGTGCTGCCCGTGGCCAGGAGAGAATAAGTCTCTTTGAAGTCGGGGCAGTCCAAATAGTCCCTTTTGATTTGGTCAAATTTCACGACTTCAGCTCTCATCTCAGTGGTAGTCATCATATGGCGACTGAGAGCATTAGCAGCTTTATTTTCAACTCCCTCCTTATGTCTAAGGGTATAAGTGTACTCTTGAAGGAATTTGACCCATCGACCATGACGTGCGTTTAACTTCTTTTGGGAGTTGATATAAAGTAGAGCCTCGTGATCCAAGAAAATAACTAACTCTTGCAGGAGCAAGTAGTGTCACAAATAACAAAGAGATTGGATCACTACATAGAACTCCTTATCATACATAGAATAACGCTGTTGAATGTCATTTAGCTTTTTCATTAAAATAAGCTATAGGGTGACCTTCCTAGGATAGCACTCCTCTAATTTCGACCCCTAAAGCATCACAGGTTACTTCGAGGACTTTGAAGAAATCAAGAAGTCTCATCATTTGGGCTTCCACCATTTTTTTATTAATCTTATCAAAAGCTTTGGTTGCAGTCGGGGTCCTGTGAAAATCACCTTTCTTGAGACAGTCGGCGATAGGAGATACAAGGGTGTTAAAATTTCGAATAAATCTCCTATAAAAGGTGGTTAGTCCGTGGAAGCTGTGGACTTCCTGGATGTTTTGAGGAATAGGCCATTCTATAATGGCCCTCACCTTCTCTGGGTTTATAGAGACCCCTTGGGTTGAAACGATAAAGACCAGAAAGATAA